GCTGCTGTAGTCTCACAGTGCCTGTCAGTAATCAAGGGAATAATATTCCTGACATTAGAGAATGAAAACGGAGAGGGTGAAGCAATCCTGCTTCCTGTGTGAAGCTAACATCCCAGGATCGTTTTCACCAGCTTCCTCCTTCCAGGCCAGCACGAGCCCACAGAAACACCTGTATGAGAACATCACCTGAAACGCGATTTTATAGTTAAACATGTGACGGAAACAGAGGCTGGCTGTAGCTAACAGCAGCTAACAGCAATAATAATGAAGATGCGCATCTGGCACCGTTTGGAGACTAACCGCTAACAGCTAGCAGCTATCCCGTCACAGTCACCTACAGCCAGCCTGGGCATACCTGCCCCGACCACACACCTGTACACACCGTCTGCCCTGTTAATTACCTAATATCACATGTAGGAGGGCAGCCCCCCTTCCCTTCCCCAGCCTCCCCTAAAACATTAACGTTAGGCGTGCTAACACGCTAGCACGCTAGCAGCCCGTCCGCCCCCTGCAGCAGCTTCCTCTTTCACGCTGTCCCCGCTCCGCAGCTAGCTGCCGGGCAGGTGTAGGTGAACAAACCCGACCCTCACGAACCCTTCCCCGCTCACCTCTCTGAATCAGCTCGCATGCTCCTGGGTCGCTCATTAGAATCGGTATCCGCCAACAATCAGCCCACGTTAGCCCGTGCTGAGCGCAGCTAGCCGTCCGCTTCCTTGTTTCTTCGCCCGCCGCTGCTTCATGCGCATGCCATCCCGCTGGCTGCCGCTGGCTCCGGTTCTCCGGGCTGGCCTGCCTGAAGGACCGCGGTGGTCTAACTGTGTCGGTAGAGAACGGATGGATATCGGTGAGGCGGAGGGCGCAGTCGTGCCCATTCACTCCTCTCTCTGTCCGCCTCTCTCTCTGCACTCGGTCCGCCTCGCTCTCCCCCCGCAGCGCGTTCCGCGTGCTCCGCGGCTCTTCCTCCCGAGGGGCTCCAAAATACACACAACGGCCCGTTCTCGCCGCAGCGCGGCGCTTTCAACGCGTTCCCGGTGATACTCCTCCGCACGAACTAGGCCCGTTCGCCGTCGTAGGCTGGAAAAGCAGCGCCGCGCGCGGCTATTGTTCTGCGACTCTATTGTGTGGCGCGAGGCTGCGGTGCTGCGCGTGATTCGGTTCAGTGTCGTGAATCGGCCGGTGGCTCGCGGCACGTTTAACCCCGCATTGATGACATCATGCAGGTGACCGCAGAGCTCGCGCGCTGCTTCAGCCTCGGACAGTGACGGAAAATAAAATAAATAAATAAATAAATAAACCGCTAAATAAAATATAGGCACAAACGATATGCACGCTCCGCCTCTCCGTGTTACGTCACAGTGCGGAAGGCATTGTGGGACTTGTAGTTGTCCCGCTTCTCCACAAAAAAGCGTTGCGCTAAAATGTTTTTTAGCCCACACAAGACATTTGAAATATAATAGAATATAGAGATCTAGTAGAATCCGGAAGAAAATGAAATTAAAGGTAAAAAAAAAAAAAAAAGATTTAAAAAATGCAGCAAACACATGCACATACATGTTGGTGCAATAAAAATGAAATCAATCAACGACTAAAACATGCTGGTGAATAATTTTACAGCTCATAAAAACCGAGATTTTTATTTTTATAAAGAAACACAGCAGCGCTGATTCCTGAGTTCACTGCAGGGTTTATTCACAATATGTCTTATAAATATTTTATTCCATAAAACACGTTTTTTGTTTCGTTCCAGCTTTACATTAGATTTGATTTACTGTGTCATTTCTCCCAGTGCATGTCTTCTGTTTTTATTATTTACTGATATAATTTTACATTTGACTTTGGTCGCTGTCTGTATGAACAAAGTCATGTGATGTGTGATGTGTGGAGTACTGTTCTCCTCTGTAAACGTGAGTGACTTTCCTCTGTGGGTTCAGACACTTGGGTATAAGCATTTCCTCAGAGGGCACAGTGGCTCTGCTGAAAGTGGATCTTTGATCTCAGCTCAAACCTGAAGGTTCACGTCTGTAACGACGAGCTCTGCCGACGGTGTTCTGACTGAGTGACGGCCAGCTGGATGTTTCCTGCCATAAAAACGGGATTTACGCTGATGTTTGCTGAAGCTGACCCGACTGCGTTTATTTGGTCTCGAGTTTGTAGAAGTCTGGGGGGGATAATAGTAAAGCATAACTCACGGATGCTGAGACTCCTCGCTGTGATAAGTGCAGACTACACTGAATCAGTACACTGCTGTTTTTTATTTGCAGTGTTTTTAGTCTACCTGCGCTTTCTTGGTCACATCCACCTGGATCCAAGCTGTCAGCAAAAACCAGTCTTCACAGCAGAAGGTTAAAGGTCAATGTTTTAAATTCCACCGTCAGCGCCCTGTGCTGCCATATAGACCCCACCTGTACTTACAGGCAGACAGTTATGGGACTCTGATTTAATACGAGAAGACTGCACGAAAAACAAGTTTTATTTTTGTAAAGCTGAATTTCTGCAGACTGCAGCAGAGGTGAGCGCAGCCGGCATGAGCCTCACGGACTCACCTGAGGCTGATTCTCAGTTCAGAGACATGAAGTTGACTTTTAGATGAACATCCTGCAGAGTCTGTCTCGGCATGCCACATGACACTGCTGTACACATGCATGGATCAGCAATCACAAGCCAATAACATAACTTGTGATTCTGCATAACGAGTGCTTTTACTTTGTCTGCTTTAGGACATTTTCCGTCTCCATTCCTGTCTGCCTTGACCAGCTTCGGGTTATGACCCCTACAGCTTCTGAAGGAAGAGGGTAACTGCATGGAGCACCTGTCCTGAGACAGGAAGCCTACACGTCCACATCTGCACCGGGCTGAACTGGAACACCAGCACAGGTGCTGAGCACGCGCTCCTCCCTCACTGAGGAGACAGCTGTTCATCACAAACACCTTCAAACTCACGTTCAGGTGCTTTTCATCACTTTTCTTGAACCCAGAGTTTTTAAAGCTGGGTTTACCTGCCTGTGGCCCCCTCACTCTTCCCAGCAGCCCCCAGACCATCTCGCGATTGTTTTCTGGCACCAGTGGACTTTCATGTGTTTCAGACCAACACACACGCGCGCCCTCAACCCCCCTCCTCTCCTCCCCTCCCTCCCGCTAGCCAGCTCGCTGCTAGCTCCGCTGCTAGCTCCTCCTGCCTCCGTGATCAGACGCACCGGCTCCATTCACATCACGGTGCTGTTGGGAAACCACCCCGCTCTCAGACCCTCTCAGACCCGCTGACGGCTCACAGAAGGGACGCCTCGTGTGTCAAATAACTGAAGATGATTAAGCTCTTTTCCCTGAAGCAGCAGAAGAAAGACGAGGAATCTGCTGGAGGAAACAGAACCGGAGCCGGGGGCAAGAAAGCCAGCGCGGCCCAGCTCCGAATACAGAAAGGTAGGCTCTGCTAGCCGAGAGTTACCCACCGGCCACGGGCCGACACCGAACCCACGGAACCCAGGGCTCTCAAACCCAGACCCGGTGTTGCTGTAGCTCACTCGGGCTAACGGCTGGCCGACTAACTGCGGCGGAAGCTGGTGTTAGCTACCGCTGCTAGCCCGGCTGTGCTACATGAAAACAAAACGCAGGCTAAAGGTGTTAGCACGCAGCTAGCAGCAGCTAGCAGCTAACAACACTAACCCGGAACACAGCTGCTAACAGCTAACGCCGGACAGCCGTAAACACTGACGGCTAACGGCAGCTAGCCTCTAACTGCTGTGTCAGTTCCGTGGGGTCCACTTCTACCTAACACCAGGTGAGTTAGGAACACAGGGACTCACTGGAACACCTGAGCACAGCGCCCACCTTCCTGACCCTCTGTCCTCCTCAGGTGCAGGTCGACCCGAGGGGCTGCAGGGCGACAGGTGAACGCAGATCAGAGCCCGACTTAGACTGCAGGGTTAGAACCAGGCTGAACCTGTGTGGTGGATCACAGTAGACTCCGAGGGTCCTGCCTGCCTGTCAGACGCCTTGTGAGTCACCTGGTGTGGGTGACCAATAGGAGAACAGGCTCAGGTCCTTATTCTCAGAGTCCAGCTCACCTTATCAGGATCTGTCTGAATTATCAGCTCTATCTGTCTACTTTGCAGCATCTGACCTGGACAGGTCTGAAACCCTTCTCAACTTCTAAGTGATCTGCTGAAATGGGCTCTGTGGTTTCCATGGATCTGATTGGCTGGTTGTCGGTGGTTTCATACCTTTTGGTCTCTTATCTGGAGCATAACCCGAGCAGGAGTGACACAGGCCAAAAGGCTGGGCGGTGATGCCCCAGCAAGTGTCCAAGAAAAAGCACGTGTTCCTGACACCAACCACCTACTTCTTCTTGCCTCCACCCACCTGATGAATGACAATTTGAATCTCAGCGATTTGTGGGGTTGCAGAGGTTTGGGGTCCTGTAGGCCCGTGGGTCTGGGTTCCAACCTGTGTTTAGCATCTCTCTGAGACCTGAGTGACCACCTGGGTCCGCTCTGACCCACCACATGGGATCAAAGCAGTTCTGAAGATGGTCCAGATGTTTTGGTGCCTTAAACAACAAGAAGGTATCCACTGGTTTCAGAGTCACCCCCTAAACCTGCGAGAAGATCAGGGCTTTTTACATTTGGAAGTTGTTCTTCCACATTTTGGCAAAAACGTTTTGACACATAAAAGTTGATTAGATTTGTTTCATAATGGTCCTTTTATTTCTTTACCCCGTGGGTCTAGGCCGTTATTTCTCATTGATGCTCATCTAGGTTTGTGTTCTTCTCTGGAGGTTATTGAGATTTTGGAGATGATGACATAACATTTTTGAAGTCCTAAAGAACACAATATGTGGAGATTTTTAAGAATATTTAAAGAGGTTCAGAGGTTTTAGAAGTCCTTAAATACCAAGGTGAGATTGAGAAATGCTGAAGGAGGACTTGGAGAAGGTTCCAGTTCTAGCTGAAAGTCTTTTGGGGCAGTTCAGAGACCCTCGTGTCAGCACTGCTTTTTCACAGGTCCTAGCATACAGACAAGGTGTTTAGAGCTCCAGATGTTTTCATGAGCCTCTGAAAGGTGAAAGAAGAAGAGATGAAGGACGCCTTTGATTCCCGAGGACGAATCAGAATCAGTAACACCTGCCTGTGTTTGTTTTTCAGACATCAATGAGTTGAACTTACCAAAGACGTGTGAGATCAACTTCCCCGATGATGACGACCTCCTCAACTTCAGACTCATCATTTCACCGGACGAGGTGCGTGTGTTTCGTTCAGAGACGTGATTGCATAAAAACTTTATTCCTCTCTGACTCTGAGGACAAACACCTGTGAGAGCTGCAGGTGTGCGTCAGTAACACGAGCCGATTGTACATACACACACAGGTGTATGAAACCTCAGGATGTACAGAGTGAGGATGAGGGGCTGATGATGCTGAGCTAACGAGTCTGCCTCTGTTTGTCTTTTTGTCCCTCAGGGTTTTTACAAAGGAGGAAAGTTTGTCTTCAGCTTTAAGGTGAGAAACAGCCGTCTCTCTCTCTGCTCCACCCTCGGCTCCACCCTCGGCTCTTCATGCTGAAACAGTCTGACCCTCAGCAGCCTCCACTGGTCTAACAACAGGTCTCACCTGTGTAAAGTCCGGCCCACAGCGCCCTGAGAACAATAAGAGGCTCACTAATGTAGCTCCATTAGTTAATTATCACTTAAATATGAATTTGGCAGCGATGATAAAATCACTTTTTTCTTCCGTTTTCTCCACGAGACTCTCGTTTTCTCTGCTGTTATGAATCAGGTGCTGCCTTTCACGCATGTTTAGATGTCCTCATGGTTGAGCTGTAAGAAGGTTTCTGCAGGTGAGCCCGTAAAGGACTCGCAGGTGGATTCATCATAATCGCTGACAGACTTGTGTGACGGTCCTACAGGTCTCCCGAGTCCACCTGGTCTTCCTGCTGGCCCGTCTGCAGACTTCCTGCGGTGGCGGCTGCAGGCCGGTAGGAACGCCGGTGGGGGTCAGAAGAGGAGGCTCGTTGCTGATGATTTACAGGAAGGCTTCCAGGCTGAAGTGACTGTACAGCAAACTCTAAAACAACAGGTTTGAATTAGTGTTGGAGTTGCTGCTCCACACAGGGCCAATAAACGAACGCCACCACCAACCTTTGGCCACACAGCTCAGTCTTTGTGTCTGACCATCAGACTCTTCTCCTGGAGGCATTTGGTTCATCCATGTGGGCAGGTACACGTTTCAATCCAGCTTAAAGGTTTTGATTTTGGAGCAGGTGCTTCTTTCTTGGTTGGGACCCTCTCGGTCCGTGGCGATGTGAAACTGGCTTCGCTGTGGGTCGTGGCGGGCTTGAGTCTCGTGGTTCCTGAACATCCCATCTGAAGGGGACAGTTTGGGCCTTCTTCCAGGCCAAAGTGGTGACACATCTGAATAACCTGACCGTGTCAAAATAAAACTAATAATTAATAAAAGGTGTCTGTGTATCTGGGCCTGTGTGGATCAGAGAAAATCCAAAGCAAACTTGTTCTTTAGTCATTGAAGAGTTTGCTGTACGTCATTCAGCTCAAGTCCAAGGAGCTCGGGAAGAACGCCAGCAGACTTGTGTTTGGTTGCTGAAGACGTTTCGTCTCATCCAACAAGCTTCTTCAGCTCTAAACACTCATCTGCATCTAAAGGTCAAAGGTCACTCTATCCAGGATGCCAGTGTTCACATTCGCCACCTACACTGGTCTGAGATCCTTCCCAGACCCCTAACGCCCACTCACAGCCTGCGTCAGGTGACTCAGTGGGTCACATGATGGGGTGGGGCAAAGTCCCACACCTTTTTCACACCTTGGCTGTGATGAGTCACATGATGAATTCTCTTAGGCCACTCCCACTAAAGTCTGACAGAGAAGCTTCTGGGATGAAGCGTCGTCACAAACCTGTTCTTCCAACTGCTTTGATGTTTGCTGTAGTTGTTCCATCCTGACATCCACGCCTGTGATTGGTGGAGACTTCTGACCTCACCTGCAGAGGCTCCTAATCTCAGCTCAGAGGGTCCGGCGGCATTTCGAGGGTCATCGCCAGGGGCTCGTTAAGAAGCAGGTGATCTGACTGTGTGTGTGTGTGTTTCAGGTAGGACAGGGTTACCCCCACGACCCCCCAAAGGTAAAGTGTGAGACGATGGTGTATCACCCCAACATCGACCTGGAGGGCAACGTCTGCCTAAACATCCTAAGGTGTGTGCGTTCTTAATCAAACTTGAGGTCACGCTGAGGTCAGACAGGTGAGCGTTTCCAGGTGAGGTCTTCTCTGCTCACCTGTTCCTTCTGCTCCACAGAGAGGACTGGAAGCCCGTGCTGACAATAAACTCCATCATCTACGGCCTACAGTATCTATTTCTAGTGAGTGTTGTTTTCTGTTCTGCGGCTCAGTGCTGCCCTCAGCTGGTGAACGTTTTGTAACGAGACATTTAACGACGTTGTCGCCTTCCCCATCTCCCCCCGCAGGAGCCAAACCCAGAGGACCCGCTGAACAAGGAGGCGGCGGAGGTCCTGCAGACGAACCGGCGGCTCTTCGAGCAGAATGTCCATCGCTCCCTGAGGGGCGGCTACGTGGGCGCCACCTACTTTGAGAGATGTCTTAAATAACTTAGCGTCCCATCATCCTCTGAGCTCCCTCCCATCCCACCTCCCCCCTCCCACCACCTTCACTACTTCTCCTCCCCCTCCTCCCCGGTCCTGCTCGTTGGCTGAAGCAGGAGCTGCGGCGACAGGAAGCAGCACACCAGAAGACGCTTTTCTGTTTCAAAACAAAAGAAGAAGAACCTCATCCTCCCCCTCTGCCCTCCTCCCTCCCCTCCCGTTTCTCTCTGTTTAACTTCTGAGACGCAGCATTGAACCGTCGACACGCCGCCGCGGGACGCCGACACACAACACACACCTGAATGGACTCAAAAAGATGGCTGCCAGCAGACGGCCGCCGATGATGATGATGATGGACGGGGGAGGGGGAGGGCAGGGTGGTCAGTGATGGCCATGATGCTGGTGATGACGATACTCATGTGATTTTTTTTTTTTGTTAGTTTTCGAGTTTTTGGCGAGGGAGCCTGACATCAGACGGGCGGTTAGAATGGACCCGCCCCCTTGTTGGTTACATGCAAGTCAACTAGCAGCAAACTACAAACCCTAGCAGCTTTAGTGTTGCATGGACACTTGTGGGCGGAGCTTGTGACCACCTGTAGGCGGAGCCTTAAAACCATCTGCTGCACCTGCAGGTGTAATGATAATGTCAGCACAAGGGGAGGGGCTTGTAGGAGAGGGGCCTTAAGCACATGCTCCATTTTTTATTTTTTTTTTCTTCTCCAGCAAAGGGGGAGTGGCTTGTGGGAGTGGGCGGAGTCTGTTAGCAATGCTAGGAGATGCTACATGTTTTTCATTTTTGTGTGCCTACACTGGAGGGAGGGGCTTGTTACTCCACAGGTGGTGTGGAGGTGGAGCTTGATTTTATGTGAGGGGCTTGTTAGTGCCATTGTGCTTAAGGTGGTCACATGACGCTCTGCAGGTGTGGCGGGTGGACGAGTTTGGAGTTCGCTGCTAGATGGAAACATGAAGACAGGGTTGGTGGGCGGAGCTGTGTGAGATGGGTGGGGCTGTTATAGGGTGGGAGGGTTATGTTTAAAGGCTTGTAGGTCTGGGGGCAGGGTTACAGGGGGAGGGGGGGTCAATTTTCATTTGGGGGGGTTGTGGGTGGGGTTAAGGGGGAGGGGCTTAAAATGTTACGATTCTATTGTGTATATTGAAACCCCGGCTGTTCACACTGACTGCAGTATGATTTATGTTAAATAAAATATGAAGTTGAATGAGTAGAGCTGTGCTGATGTCACTTCCGTCCTCGATCGCCACAGATGATGTCACCAGTGTGGGGGGAGGAGCTGGAAGATGGTGAGGTAAGGCTCTGCGGCGAGCTCGGCGGCGGAGCTCTACGCCTCGGAGCTCAGTGGTGTAAGGATAACACGAAGCATGAAGCTCGTGGTGCATATTTCCTGTGCTGATGTTAATACCTGAGCAGACGCCTCAGCAGCCTGAGACCCTGCCCTACGGTAATCAGCTGACCGTGGAGAGACGGCGGCCCTGGCGTCCCGTTTCAGCACCACGCTCAGTTTCAGGGAGCTCGTTACGACCAGGAGCTGTAGTAACATGGGTGGGCCAGTAGGGGGCACTGAGCTAATAACCTGCTTTTAGGAAGTTGTCGGACTGCCTGGCAGGTCGGAGCACGCAGCAGACGTTTGACATGCGAGAGGTTTAAACAAGCGTCACCGATGACAACCATGGACTCGTGCAGCGAGCGTGCGTTACCTGGTTTAATCTAATAACGAGTGTCAGGAATACATTGTTTAAAAGCATGTGACTGGTCCTGAGCTCGTCCTACATCACAGAAACAAGCTGGAGCGATGGCGCTCAGCAGCAGGAAGTAAAACCAATCATCAGAAGGTGAAAATGAAGAAATGAAACGAAGAGTTTCTCATCCGAGCTGTGAGTGAGGGTCGGGTCTGGACGTATGGAGGGATTTTGCGATTGTGGTGTGATCCCAGATCTGAACCTTGACCTTTGATCACAGTAAGTTTGTTTCAGCAACATGAATAAAAGAAAGAAAAAAAACCCAGGTCAACAACCTCAATTCTTCTTTTCTTTATTTAACAAGTTCACTTTTATCTCCAACATTATTCGACACTTCTCAGAATCTACTGGAAAAACGAGCTTCACAGTACACGGACGTCTGGCAAAACTCCGAGGTCACGCTGAAACGTTTGTTTTCATAAAATATTTGAACTGTCAGTTATTAACGATCACCATGGCTGCAGTTCCTCTGACGTCCACTAGAAGCTGCTGCGCCCCCCAAAAAGAAGGTTGTCAATATGTTGCCAAAAAAGGCAACACATTTAGAAAAATATGAGAACAGAATTTAACTATTGTTCTATAAACTGTTACATTAAACGTGACGTAGTCATGACATCAAATATTTGCTTTGAGTTTAATGTTTCATAAAAGCTCAGTGAAGGTTTAGTGTTACTAATCTTTTTACAGCGTTACAAAAACAAACTGGTTACACAAAGTGAAAACTTTCATTCTTTATATCATTTTAATTAAAAAAAAAAAAATTGGTTCCCCGATTCATTTGATGTATTTTTATGAGCATATTTACAAATTTAAGCAGCAGCTCTGGCTGTAAGAGCACATCGTTCTTCAGTGATCAAAATACAAAATCATCGCCTGTCAGGATCTAACGGGGACAAAACGAGACAAACATCCTTTGTTGTTTCAAGTCTCACTGCAGAGTCTGGAGACCAACGTGAGGACGATTCGACTCCACCTGCAGTTCCTCTGCTCGTAGTTCGCTCGGCATTGACCCTCCGGTTGGTCCCGGTCCCGGTCCCTCAGGCCGGGTGCTGCAGCGTGGTGAGGAGGATCAGGGGGACCTCTTTGTCTCCGGTCCCCAGCAGAGGAAACATCCTCTCGGTGAACTCAGTGGATGTGTGAAAGCTGTAGATCTCTGAGCCCGACTTGACGTTGTAAAGGGACACCTGACCCTCCTCCATGTCCAGGAACACGCCCACCTGTCGCAGCTTGGGGTGGTGACCTTTGACCTGCAGGTGAGACGCAAACAGAATGCGATTAAGACGAGTCGACAGAAGCCTCGAGGTGTGGAAGCCCACCTGTGCCAAAAAGACACTGTGGCGTTTTTGTATTCATTAAAGTTTAACTGTTGCATTAAAAACAAACGACGTGAGAATGAAAAATCACTTTTTAGATCTAAGTTTTTAAACGCGCTGAGCTTTACAGGATGTTTGCTTCTTCTTGCCTTAAAATTTCGTTTTAACACACAATAGAATTAATTTGATCAGATTTTAAAGTTATTAAATGTGTGGAAATGATGGATTTTGGGTGCTTTTTTAACTTATTTCAATTAAATTTAGAGATTTTCTATGTTAAAGTCACGCTGACCAAAATCATGTTTAAGTCTGAATGGCTGCTTTCTCGCGGCACCAGTGGGCTTCCGTACATAAGTGCATGTGAAACGTGGACTGGACCTTGGTGAGCGGCGGCGTGGTGAGCGCCCTCAGCTGGCTGCTGCTCCACCAGATGGCGTAGTATCCGTGAGATGGGCACATATCGAACAGACCCTTCCTCTGAGCCGACTCGCTGACCACGCCCAGCTTCCAGTCCTTATTCTCCCCGACGCACACCTGAAAAACACACCTGAGATCAGACTTGGATCCTGCTAGCCGTTACTGAACCCAGTCCCAAGGCCGGTTGGGTCCTGACCTCCCAGTAGTGGCGCCCGGAGCTGAATCCCTCCTTGGCGAGGACGCAGGACCAGACGTCGAACCTGTGCGGGCTGTTTCTGTAGAACTGCAGCTTCTCTCCTCTCTTCAGCTGCTTACGGTCCTCGGACAGGATCAGGAAGGGATACGCCGTCACCGGGTTCAGCGTCACGTCCTCTGGAAGCAACAAGCACAGGTAAACATGACAGCGAGGTCCCCTGGAGGCTGAAAGAGTCATCACAATGGGAATAACTCAATCCAGGACGATCCCGACACCGCAGGATGAGTAAAGGTGGACTTCCCCTGTTCGAGCCTTGGAGTTTCATATCAGTGATCTCAGAGTCAGTAACCCTGTGAATCTGAAGGTCGAGAGGGCACATCCCCTTTGAAGGGCAGCCAATCACAACGTTCAGAGGATGAAGAGAGGACCTGCGCTGAGGCCCAGTGTCTGATACAGGAGGATTATTTTGAACTGAATCATGCAAAGCTCCTCTACAGTCCTCACCATGAGGCTCAACCTGCAGCTCCTCCAGCAGAGGCAGCAGTGAGTCAGCCCCCCCACGTTAAAACTTCTCAGCAGAAACAAACGTTTACAGCCTGAAACTCTTTGGTCTCTGTGTATCATTTAAAATGGGCTTTATTAGGGGGTGTGGCCTCTGTGACTGAAAGGTGGATGGTGACACAGGTGGCTTCACCTGAGCCGGACCTCTGGACCGTGTTTGGGCTGTTTAATGAGATCATGTGACCAGTAACGTGGCTGCTGTGAGGTTACTGTGGTAAGAGAGCGTCGGGCGGGCGGAGCCAGAGTGTTTTACTTGGATGTTGCCCAGCATTAGCATTAGCATTAGCATTAGCTGTCTGTCTGTGTGAATGCAGTTGTAACCAAACCTGACCTGCATCAACCGAATCACCCAGAAACCAAAACGCTGAACAGCTCACCCATGTAGAGTCGGGCCTTCTTGTATCCTGCAACAACAAAGGAACATTTCATCAGCAATCTGAAACAAGCTCTCATCTCGTCACAAACCTCCCACCGCTCCAGCTTCGCTAACAATCACCTGCTAACAACTCAGTGTTTTTATCGTTTCACTTCATCTTTGTGTCGTTTAAAAACAACCAGCATTTAAAAAAATCTGTCATCTTTGATTTGACATGATGTCGTTATCAGTGTCTGAAAGGCTCACGGTCGCATCCATGTCTGCTGCACACTCACAGGTACGTACCTGACACCTGCTTGCTCTTCTTTAGGTCTGAAAGTAGACAGGAAAACATTCAGTTATTCTTTCACAATAAAAGCCCCACAACTTGTAACTCATTTCCTCAACATAAGAAATTGTGGGATGAGCAACACTTCCCTAAACAAGTCAAGCTGTCGAGGTAAGCAACATGTTATCACTAAACAAGTGGTTCCCACAGCAGAGACAGAGACACTGTGGACGTTCAGGCACAGGAAGAAAAGTGAAGCTGCGCGTGCACATCTGCTGATCTGAAGGTTTGTGGTTCAATCGTGCTAAATATCACTGTGCATGATACCAACCCCATCAGAGTGTCCATGTGTGCACTCATGTCCATATGTGTGCACGTGCGAGGACATGTGTGCACGTGCGAGGACATGTGTGCACGTGCGAGGACATGTGTGCACGTGAGTAGACCAGGGCTATATAAGAACCGCTCCACAGCGTGCAGTCAGGTGATGATAATATACATTTATGATCAGCGTGTGTTTTAGTGGGTGGTGTCTTGAGTGGATCTGCAACAGCACTCCGTCCTACACCGTGGCGTAGCTGCTGCTGACGGAGCTCGCTGCTCTGACTTATGCTGACTGGATCAATTCTTTCCTCAGTGAGGACAATAGAATAGAGTAGAGTCAGTCTTTATTGCAGGGCTCCACAGAGGAGCAGTTCCTAAGTGCTTGGAATGATCGGAATGTCGGGATTTGAACCCAGAATGTGGCACACCTGCAGGTAGATACAGGAAGTGACCTCTGACCTCTCACCTTTCAGGGACCACTGGCTCTTCCTGAGACTGGCCGTGCTGGCTCTCAGACTGAGCATGCTCTCGGCC